TAGGCTAAGCCTGTAATTATAGGCAAATGTAATACTTGATGTAAAGCGCATTTGATCATATCCACATGCATGTAAATTTGTGCTATAGGAATGTTAAGGCCACTCCAAATTAGACTTTAGTTTCCCGTCCTCCGTCCGCGTCTCCTAGAACTGGCCGCATGATTTGTCCATTCAATTGCCAACTTGTTTCCATTATTTGACTTTTGTGACAAACAATTACGAAAAACCACAGTTTTCAAATAATCTATCGTTCAAGAAATACATATTTATGATGCAACACGTAAAAATCGAAATAAAATTCTTGAAACTTTTATCAAAGAGCGTGATTTTTTTTCCGTTTTCACTACGAACTGCTGAGCTACACACGTCAAAACCGATAAGGCTAATATCCTGGCTTTCATTTCTGCATACAAAAAATCTAAAACATTGCGTAGAAACGTGGCTGAGTGGATATTTAAAACGTATCTATTTCATGAAATAATGGGCCCTGTTTCATCTTTGAGACACCATAATGGATAATGGAAATGGACCGCCCGCCCGCGTGTAATTTGAAATAAGGGCCGGACGGGAAACTAAAGTCTAATTTGGAGTGGCCTAATCGTAATCGCAAAAAATTGAGGTTGCTGACCATGGCACTTTAACCAAACTATCCGGCTGGACGTCTTGCCAGTTCAATAAAATTATAATTAATGTGTAATTGCCCAAAGAGAATTACACCGCAAACTCAAGATAAACGCTGTGCCCTATATAGAAGAGAAAGAGACTGTCTACGAACCTCGTCCCCGAGAGGCCCGTCTGCCCCGTCACACTCTATAATATTAGAGTATACTTACAAACGATGTGGGACGGCAACGTGACGACGACGGTTATTCATACAATGAGATTAATAATATTTAAGAAAAAAATGAGTAATTAAAATCCCACGGATTTTGCCGGAGACGTCGTCCACGGTCTGTTTACAACGGGAAACTACAGACTTTTATGTCTCGGATAAAACGCCTGCATTTCAAGACGCGAAAAGTGATACTCAGCAGTCAGTATAGTATTAGGTAGAATATTCTCAACAATAAAGCCACTATAAGGCCCATTATTTCAAGCTAACCAAACAGTATTAAATTGATACGATCGATAATAGTCTACAAACTTTCATTACAATCGTTTATTTGAATGGCTCTCTGCATGCATCCAATGAAAGCGTCATCAGTGAGGTAAGATTTTATGGCACCCGAGAAATGCCTTGATCAACAGACACTGACAGTCAAAGTTCTCACGTGGCTGCACTCGATCAGCAAATTTATACGAATATATTTGCTGCTTCACTTGTGGGACGTTAGATAATAAAGCGCACATGCTCAATTACATTTCAAACATATTACATATGAAGTGCGCATGCTTATCCTCAGCCAGAGTTTACGTCCCAGTCCCATGTGCACAAGCGTAAGAGCTGTTCTGGGATGACAAGACCTTCACATTAATCATATATGAATGCGCGCCGAGGTGAATAAATCACTTGGTTCCAGACGTCTCAGTAAATAACTCTTACTTATTTGATAAAATGGCACAGTACAATCACAGAATAGGAAGTTATACCAGAAGCGTAACTCTAGTCGTTTCCCTTATTGTTTGACGTCCACGAAAATTTTAACTCGCTCACGTCAGGCCACGCCATCCTGGCTAGTACAGCCGGAAGTTTTTATCAGGATTTGGTAGGTACAAAGTGCCGGTTGTACTAGCCAGGATGGCGTGATTGATGATGAATCGCTTGTAAAAACGCGGACAAATATTTGCTCGAGTTACGCTTCTGGTATAACTTCCTATTCTGTGGTACAATAGTACATCATGCAAAAGCAGCGTGAAAATATAATATAATGGGTTAATAAAAATGAGATTCGAGATTCGCATAATTATAAACAGTTTCGTCCGGGGCCGGTTGCCATAGCTAGAGTCAGTAACAAACTTTCCGACAGCTTGTTTATAAACGTTTTCCAAAAAGCTTGACAACCTCGTTCCCAGACTATTCACTCTTGTGAGGGAAGAGCTTGCATGGTAACGAGGCTGAAATCTTGCCTGGAACAAATATTTTTTAAATAAAGTTTTGAACAAACAAAACAACCTAATTTGAACTTAGGGTTAGCGCTAATAGTGCTCATAACAAACACCCATGGCTGGACAAAAATTTTACTTCTAATCAAAAACTTCTCCAGCTTAATGATAATTGAATTGTTGTTTAACATAACTGCTGAGTAATGAGTTGTGAATCTCCATAAATGGAAATGCATTCGGGATCCTGTAAAAGGTTAATTAGTTACGTACCCCTATATTGTCACATGTTAATCCATTTAATTAAAAAAACTTTTTTGTGAAGTGGTTATTTGTTTATTATCTGTCGATGGTTCTTGTGTCTAGAAAGACTTCCTGTAAAAAATGACTTCCTGTAAAAAATGACTTCTTGTAAAAATGACTTCCTGTAAAAATTACCAGAACTTGCAGGTTACACGCACCGGCTATACATCACATAGTGAAAATTCTAAAACAGCTGACTGAATAAAACTCCGACCGATTCTTTCTTTAAAGTTAGACCTCGCTAATTTTTGTACGGTTTATTCCACATGTCCAATACGTCTGTGAGCAAACCAAAACATCTGCGATTTTATGAAAAATTTCTTAGGCTACTTCTAGGGATAGGGGGAAAATCATCTTTCGCCATCACTTTATATTGTGCATGTAAGTCATAAGATCTTCTCAATATACCTCGACATTTTGAGCGAAGACCTTTCATCGAGAATCTTGAACTGAACGGTCTGTACCAGTGTAGGTAGTGCCAATAATAACAAACTGACCTCGGTTGATTAATAGGGATACAACTACTTTAGTGAAAAATACAAAAAGAACTTCGACGTTTCGAGCGCCATTCGTCGCGAAGTTAGTGCGTCGGAAAGTTAGTTAGGGCATTAGCTCGAAACGTCGCCGTTCTCTTTGACTTTGCATTTTCTAGGTGGTTGCATCCCTAGTTAACCGAACTTTCGTTTAGAAGGTTAACTATACCCGTTTTTCGAAGGTTAACTATACCGCTGCGAAATGACAGATTCCACTTAACAGGCTGGTTTTAAAGAGAAGTCCATCCGACCTATCCCACGCAGCACAATTTAGTATGGCATTTATACTATATACAACAACAATATAGAATTTCGCATTTAACGAAATTGATTTAAAAGAACAAGAACAAAAACTAAGTTTAATTAAAAAAGATATGGAAGCTTAATATCTATTGTCATTGGTTTGCATGTAATGCGTAACTACTGTATATCTATCTTATATACAAAATATATTAATTAAAGGCGGATTGCTAGTTATGTCCTCTATGTAATATTTTCTCATTTATATACCTCATCATAACCGTATTTTAGTGTGTAGATGGACTACGGACTTGTAAAATACTACTATGGGATTTATCAGGACTTTCCAGACTCCAGTATTAATTAATTTCATGTAAATGTATATGTCAACTATCGTCAAGGGTTACTACGTAAATGATGTACAAATATTTTTAAGTACATATAAGTACCTTCACTGATTTTGTTTGTCTGGACTTGGAGTACATATCTAAGATATCTAAAAATTTAGTTGTTTTGCCATGGACAGGTCTGGGCATGCAAGTCTTCCAGGCCCTATTCATTGCATAAAAGCATAGTTAGAATTCCTTGTGTCCTAAGTGTGACTGAAAATAGGAATCCTCATCTTTTCACAGTATGACGTCGGTTTCGAAACTATTGCAGAAATTATTCAAGGTGTAAATTTTGCCGCACTATATATACTTGTAGAAATCTTGATATCAACTTGAATTCAAGTGTCGCAAAACTTGAACTGAAGAGTAATAATATTTCCAGAAAAACGTTCAGATACAAGCCCCGCATCTGTCAGAAGTGTATAGACTGTTCGCAGGATATTTGCAGTAGCAATCTCTCTAACCTTTCGCAAGGTCATAAACAATCCCCCTGGCCTGTGAGTTATTGCTCTCTTTGAGTATGTCAGAATCTCCTTAAGAAAGTTTGATCAAAACTGGCAAACGTCTTCTCGTCAAAGTTTGATGCGCGAAACAATGCAACTGTAATCATAGTCATATCGATACGGTTAGCCGATGTGTAATCGAAACAAAAAAAAGAATCGTTATGTGGCGGGCGGGGGGGGGGGGGACGAAATATGCTCTAATCATAGTATGCTTTGAAAATAATTTTCACGAAACTAATAGGGTGAAAGATTGTCCAAAAGTACTTGTACATTTCCTAATATGCTTATTTGTGTCACACGATAAACATATAAATTCCACAAGTTAAGCCTAATTTGGCAAAGCTCGCTAAAATCAGAGTGTTCTAGCTTACATGAACGGGCATGTCTCCTACACATTACGTACTCTGACGTCTCTGAGTATTTTATAGTAGAAACATTGTAAGTGAAATCGAACAACGGTAATCATTACATCGTTGTAAAATGAATACATGTTTTTCAAATGTATCTCACAATAGCCATGCACAGTGTGAATATGATTCACTTGGTCTTGGGTTTCGAACCTATGTTTCGAAGGGAAAAAGCTTCCGGTCATCTTTGTTACTAGGCTGATGTTTATTGGCAATTGAAAGATATGTACGACAATGAGATGTATACCTTGTACCCCTACCGTGTACCCCTAGCTATAGGTTTTCAATGAGAAAATATCACTAGTACTGCAATATAGGGAAATATTGTAGGCTTATCGATAGGGCGTAGCCTCATATGGTAGTGGATTTAGTTTATATTCGGTTATTATAAAATATAAATATAATTACTAGCTTCCCGATTGAACTATACTGATGTGACAAGGATCTCCTGTTACACTTTCGAGTGATGGAGTGAATCTGGTACTGTGCTAAGTCAATAACATGTGCATGATATATCCATGATGCTTTTCGCACCACACATTCAAAAACACGTGCTATATAAAGCAAGCTTGGACACCCTAGTCTCGCACAGAACGGGAAGGTTGAAAAACCGTGATCACTAGTACTAGTACTACGCAGAAAGAGCTGGACATTTCAACGAAGACCTCGCTACATCTTGATAAACAAGAAAAAAAGTTTTTGAAGGAAGTCGGTGGCCTCAAATTTGCAACAATGGACTTTTCAGACCAATATGTATTGGGAGATCTGGGAGGTACTGCATTCAAATTTGTGGAACAAATTGCCTTTTTATTTAAATGCGTATCAGTAAAACATTTCCATTAATTCAAATGTAAAAGCTTCACAATTTTTTCTGCACATGCATGTTCTTGTGTTATCTGGCCAGAAGAATGTCATTACGATTTTGATACTAACTTGAAAAATTATATTAATAATGCTGTCCTGAACGCCAGGAATTATTATATTTGAAACTATCAAAGATATTGGTGCTATTGATTTGCTAATTTTGAATACTTCTTGTGCATGCTGGCGTGGGACTGATCTTTCACACGATAAACTGATGCGCATGCATGCATGTATGCATGCAGATAGACAAGTTGTTTCGAGGCACATTTAATTAAAAACAAACTTCATTTTCACAAATTATATTCATTTATTTAGTATTATTTTTTATGCACTGTGTGGTCATATAGTTTAATTATGTATGGCATATACGTGCATGCCTTTACGGTACATGGAGTGCTTAAAACGAATCTTAAATAATTTGTTAATAATCTTTCGATTTTGAGTCAAAACAAGACGACACACTTCTCAGTGCATGCATGCTTGTTAAAATGGACAACTCAACTATAAATGTAAAGGCACTATACTTACTAGCTCTGTAATTTAAATGTGAAAATAACTATCAACATAATCCATTCATGGTAATAAATTTGGATGAAGTCAGTCTGAAAATATTTTGTTGATCATCTTCAAAATTTCACTTCACTTATAATCAACAACTATATATATAAACGACTGGAGATCACGGTAGCAACTGATAAAGTTGAGCAATTTGGCTCAATCTTAATCTATACATTTTAAGACCATCGAAGAGTTAACGTAAACGAAAATTTAAATCTGCGATAATTCCAACCGAAGATTTTTACCTTGTATGGACTGTTTTGGGGGTGTTGCTGCATGCATAATACATGCACTGGTAAGTATACTTCCTCCTCCTCGTCTGGTTATAACTTTGCCTAAAGAATCATGATGAGACGAGTATTTCTAATTGAGTTTCTTTGGCAGGGACTCTAGATCTAGTTATGCATGTAACCTCCTTTTAATTGTAGGACAACGATTCATTGAAAAATACCCAAGGAAGTTTCGTCTCTACAATGCATGTCGGGCGATTCTTTTTTTATTATTTAACTACTGTTTATTGAAGCATTATATATGTGTGTGTGTTATAGATATGAAGTGTTCATAATTTTTGCATTACGCGAGTGGGTGGAAGTATTTTGGTAATGTTCCTAAGATGAACGCAAAGAGCGGAAAAAGATAATCTTATTTTATATATACAATATATACACATTATGATACATGTATACCATTGACTGTTTGACCTACTCCAGTAGATCATATTAAAGTGTTTGTGTGATGAATGCCATGCATGCAGTCATGAAAATATATGCTGAATTAATCTGGTAGTCAGTTTTACTGGATGATGTATTGTTCTGTATGTCAGTTTTATGAATATTTGAAAGAAGGAAACTTTATACTATGTAAACGAAAACATCATTTTGATACACCTTGTCTATAGTCTTGAAGACGTTAGTAAATACGAGAAGAAACATTTCCGCATGGTAAGAGAAATGCAAAGCAATTAGAGTACATTGTGTCATCAGTGTAGTCGGTATGTTTACTACTTTGATCTGCTTAAAGCACGCAACATAATTCTTAAATAAATAAATACCAGCAACAAGCTTTCGTTGGTAAGGATGCAACTACCTGAAAAATACAAAGCGAAATTCGACGTTTCGAGTGAAAGTCCTTCATCGGGAAGTTAGTCGGGAAGAACGAAGGCCTGTTATTATTGGCTCTACCTACACTGGCACATGACCATTCGTAAATAGATACCCAATGTTTGCAAGGTATATTATAAACGTTTCTTTATTATAAAAATATAGGACCAGCAATCTGTACTGAGTCAGTTAATATATAACTGCAACATTAAGGAATATATATATATACAGTCCTTATATATAAGTATTCAATGGATACCCTGTATAGTGAATGATGTCCAAGTTTAAAAAGTTTATATGGTGCAAAATAGTCTCTTACATATGCGAACTGCAAAATATAGGCCTAAAGCAAAGTTTATACCCGCAAAAATATATATTAATCTGATTAATGCAGTTCGTCGACCAAAATTATATAAATGTAAATTACTAAATAATTATAGAGTTTGAACATTTTAATTCTATCGCAGTTCCAATAATATTAACCTAATGTTCCTAACCTGTGGTAATTACACTAGAAACGATGCATTCATGGTGCTTACATGAAACAAACCATGTTCATTTGCTTTTGAATTTTTAATACCTCACTTGACACAGCCGCGTGCAAGTTCAGTTGAAAAGTGCATGGTAAATAAGTTAAAATATACTGTGCATACTGTGCATCAGCAGAAAATTAAAGTACTTGAATATAGCCCAATCAAAGTTTTCAAGACGAAATCCAAACACCGACACTCACTCACACTCACAGACGTCAATGTATACTGACTCATCTCTTCGTACACTTGGGTTTATTGATATAGTTCGGTCTACTTTGGCCAACTTGTTCTCGGCGGAAGGATTTTGCAGTTGAAACTATTGCCAAACCGCATTTTGTTTTCTCCTATAGAGCTGAAATATGCTCCGGCCGAAAGAGGTATTTCCTGATAGATATTTCAGATTATAATTGGACAATGAACACACAAATATTACTCCTTACATGTTAGAAATTCAGTGGTGTGAGATAGGTAGTTGACTTAATGTAGTTATCGGCAGTAGTTAAAGTAGCCCAGAAAACCTTCGAGGTGACATGCAGTTGTCGATTATTATAAATTTTAAGCCATTTAAATGAGTTATTGATGCTTAATTAAGTCAAGAGCATCTTACCAACATAAATACTATTAACACGATTTAGCTCAACAGCAAAATATTATTTTAGCAATTATTGTTGAATGAGGTTGAGCATGACATGAATACATGAATTTGTCAACTGAAACCGAAGTTTTATTTTTCCGTTTCATGATCAAAGCTGAAAGTTTTATTTTTTTTAAATATGTGAAAGACATCCACGTCTGTCAGTTGAACAATATTCTTCAAAATAATGACGAATTCGCCACTCTCTCCCATTTGCAGGAAGTGTGTCCTCTTTTCCTTTTAAATATAATGTATAAAAGTAATTCAGAGCCTTTCGTCAAACATTTTGCTGTCATTTAGTCATTGTTATTGTAAATGTTTGTAAAATTATAACGCACTACTGACGTCATAACTCCATATTTGGTCAGCTATTGTGTTGATATGACGATTTCACCTTTGACTGTTAGCAATAAGAAATCATAACATATTATAATTAAGTAACTAGAAATACATGCATCGAGCAACCCCTCCCCTGTATCTCCTAACATTAATTAAGATGAAGTATTAGTAATTCGCCACAAGTTTTTGCCATAGCAACAACTATTTTTTATATATTTTTTTTACAAAATAATTTTGCATTTTGTGAGCATTATACAAATTGATTTAAATGTAAAATTTGATCTGAAACGCTACGTAAAATGTTTTGAAATGTTCATTCCGGCAACTAAACTGCTTTTGCAAGAAAACTGTTTTTAAATTCAGTAATAAAACAAAATAAGTTCAAAATATTGAGTAACTTACATTTCATTTTTTCGCTGATACTAACAGGGTAATTCAGGAAACTTACAGCTACATTGAAAATTAAAGGCTGAAGCCGTGCATGTTTTACGCAAAAAATTAAAGCAACAAAATTCATATAAACATTAAACATTGAAGGTTTTTCCACAGTATAAATCAATTATTGATGAACGTGATAGGCTTTGCTAATGTTTTCTATCCCCGGGTGTAAATATAGCGGAGCGGAATTAGTACCGTCGAGGATGTTCATTTATGACGGGACCGCACAAAATCATTGTCAGAAAGTATGCTTTATTTAATTCACTGTAAAATATAGCCTACATATTTAATTCACTGAATTAATTCACTGCTTTTTTAGATTTATGGAATCCCTCAATGAACGAGTACGATGTGTCTTCTTCCATGGGGCCTATAACTACTGATGTTCAGTTCCTAAATATTGATGATTCAACAGTTGTTTTTAAGTATCAATCCCGGGTGCGAAAGGAGGCTAAACAAAGGTTGAAAAATGCTGAAGTTCAAATTTTGGTGACGTCACCATATGATGTAAAGACAATTAAAGTATGGGTCCAACGAGAGGAGAAGGCTGCTGATTTGTTCGTTTATAACGTTGGTCGTGTTGAATTTGCCGCGCGAGATATCGTATTTAAAGGGACACAACTTTTGGAAAATGGTTTTGGAACAAAGGTATGCAATAATAAATGATAACACAACAACCTAATGACATAAGGCAGGCCATTAGAAAAGTTATGGGGGGGGGGGGACTTTTTTAACTTGTACGAATATTTTTTTTAAATGTTTTACTTGTGTCGATAATTTTTTTAAATGTAATCCCTTGCACGAAGTACGAAGTTGTTTTTTATTTCAACTTATAATTTTCCCTATTGAAAAGTCGCACGAATTTTTTTTTCAAACATTTTGGTGCACGAATTTTTTTTCTTTCTGTTTCCCCTGCGCGATTTCTATTTTTGCTTTTCCCTACCCTACCCCCCAACCCCCCCTCCCATCACTTTTCTAATGATTCGCCCCTAACAAGGTTCCCGTTCGCGTGGTATTAGGGAGCTCAGATTGATAGGTCCAGATACATAAATGTGATCATGTTTATTAAGCACAGTGTCGTGTTTTTTCTTTTATATAAAGTTATTATCAAATACCAAACTTATATGTTATTAATCCCTGTTTTGGAGTCCAATTTCTATCGCATTTACATGTAATTCGTTCAATTTAATACTTGTTAGTTTTGTTCGATGGAATTTGAAGCAGTTTTCTGCGCCAAGTATATATGATACAAATCTCGTCAAATACTTCAACATCGTCGCACATTACGCCTGCTGTGTTGGATAAAACCATTCATGAAACGTCCATTTCTAGTCTCAAATGAACTGAAAATCAGCAGCATTAACCCACAAATTCGATGGGAAATTGGAGTATAAAACAGGCACTATATTTATTAGGCTATAAGTTCGCCGTGTTCATGAACATATGCTTTCTATATATACTGCATGTGAGATGAACTTATCAAGAAAAAATACATTAGCATTCATATAGTAATTAAAAAGTTACTTCTTGGCTGCTTATACAAATTAAGAAGCAGAAGATGGTTGTTTTGCACTAAAAGACAAGCAAATCATAGCATATAAGGTAACGTGTATATAAAGCGGCTGAAATTCCAACGATCCTGCTCAAAAAATGTATACTCAACAATTCCATCTGTCTTCGTGTCACATTTTGTGACAAGTATATAACAGCAGGCTTATTATTAAAATGCGGTTTAAATTTTGTTCCCAACCATTAAACGTCTTCGGATCATATTTTGTAGTCGTTTTTGCTCTTCGAGGAAAAAATTTCTACAAAATTTCCCTGAAACTTTGGAAAACAAACGTTTTCTCCAATATTTTTCTCAACCCTGGTCCGCTACATAATGATCCCGGCCTGGTTGAGTATCCAATTAGAATGCTGGATTTATAATAGACCCTCATGGTAGGGTGTATATACTAACAAGTATTCACCCCTAGGCCAATGCTATCTGCACGTGCCGACATGTTTTATTACGCATATAAGGAAAATAAGTTTTAATCCTTGGAAAAACTGATTATTGTTTTTCTTCACCAGTAACTGAAGAATCAATAGACATGTTTAGTATGAATATCGATAACAAACTTACTATTTTGATAACCATAATAAAACCATTTGCAAGAAATAGATCAACAACCAGCTTAGTGTCATGCCAAGATTCCATGCAGATATTCATTTCCAGGGATACAGCTCCTTTAAAGCTGTATAAGGCATTTATTTTTCCGATTTTTTTCGACTGTACCATGGCATTTTTGTGGTACACGTACATGCCTTACATTCTTTCTCAGATTTAATAGCAGCCAGACACTTACAGAAACACAAATTTTCTAGACTTTAAACGAAGCGTTCTATACAATACGAACCTTCTCAATAAATTTTAAATAGTGTTAATCATTATTTAATTTTATAGTTATTACTTTACTTTCTCGGAGAGATTAGCTATGTAAGTAAGCTCCTCTACGGAAATACTCTCTTTTTAAAAAATGGTTTTAAAACGGATCCGTAAGTTATCTTTTTCTCTTCAAGTATAGTGAGTTCAAGATATTCTCTTTGAAAACTGCATGATTTAATTGGCATGATCATAAACTTTCACCAACATTTCAAGATTACTTGATTTCGCAAAGATTATATAATTAATATAAGTCTCATCACATTGTTTCCTCTTTTCCAATCTACAGAGTTTATATGAAATTGACCTGGATTCAATATACTACGATAATCCGTATGATAAACGACCTGTTTACAAATTGGCCAAGACAGACATGTTAAACCGGAATCGATTTCAGGTTGTGATACAAGTTGTGTTCCGGGATAATAGCTTGAGTAGCGAGTTCGTCAGTTCTGCCTTCTACTGCTGCACACAGCCTAAGAGCGGTACGAAAAGAAAAACGCGATCCACCGATGGTACGTACAAGCCAAAATAGTTAAAAAGTAATTACAAAAATAATAATCACTGAATTCACTGAAACTGGAATTTCTGTTAATGTTTGCACTCGAGAAAACAATTTTGTCTTTATGTTTCCCCTTCAATGAGATTCGATGGAAAATAATTGTTATTTCCCCAAGGAAGAAAAGTGCAATGTTCCAATTACATTAAAAGTTATGCGCAAAATAGTTTCGTTACTCGACTGTACTCGAGTATAAAAGTCGCAGAATAATTATATTAATATCAAATAGGTATAGTAACTATATAGACGTACTACATATGCTGTGCTGGTTTGTGTGGCCGTAGGGCGTAGGCAAATGCATTATGTATCCCGTTGTCAGTAAATAGGAAAAATTGTTGCCCGCTCAGGCGGGCTGCACACACATGCAAATGGAGAAAATGTAACGAAATCATAATAATTTTTCAAGAAAATGAACCCAATAATAATTTTCCAAATCTATCAAAAGAATACAATTGAGAGACTGTTCTTGTTCATGGGTTTTTTATTGTTAATTTTAACGAACTTATTAAAGTGAAGATAGAGTTCCCAGTAAACGAAAAGGAGTCTATATATAGGATGTATATCAAATGATATAGTTCGCGAAAAAATATGATTTAAATTGAAGTGACAGCTGCTAGCTGGAAAATAACAATTGTGAATGAAAGGCGGCGATACATGCATGAAATTATTTTGTCACCAAAATGAGAAGAATTGGAACTAAGATTCAGTACATATGAGTGATATGACTATTTAGTATTTTGGGCTGGAAATAATTAAGAGTTTCAAATAAATAAGACAATCCAATATTTTTCAATTGGTTTCACGCAGTTCTTACAACATTTTAATTGTCTAGTGTCAAGGCAAAAACAGCGGTGACATGGAAATTCAAGAATCTCGAGTGAACTATATATTAGCACAATTGCAGCGCATTATTAAACAGCTGCAGCAAAATAGTTGTGCAATCCGATTTTTGATACACCCTGTATTATTAACCAATGTAATTTAATTATAGACGAAAAGGCAAAAGCATCTATAGTATCCTATAATTGTTGTAATGTTTTTAATATAATCTTTATCTATTATTTATCATGGTATAATTATAGGTGGCAAGCAATATGGAAAAGAATGGAATGACCCTGAATTTTACAGTGGGTGATTTTCTCTATTATTTTCTTTACGACCACGATTTTTCTCACTTTGTTAACTTAAAATTAATAGCACACTTCATTAAATCTTAAGTATTTCATTACATCTCTGTTCACTTCACTATAGCTTCACCATATATTTTCCAATTAAGCTAGGAAACCGTTCATTATACTTTACTTCAACTCTCGACTTTTTTCCTCTTGATCATTTCACTTATCCCAACTTTATTATAAACTCATTTCATTTTACTTCACTTCAATTTATTTCACTAAATATTGGCAATACATTTTTATTTAGTTAACTATATGACTAGTATACTTGAACAACAAATTAATTAATTAGAACTTTTTAAAGAATACTGCATGATTCCATGCAAACGCAAAGCAATTACCCATTTATTTTCATATTCAAGAAAGAGAAGTGAAATTTTGACCAAATGCATTCTCTTATAGTGTGTAGTCTATAGTTTTGAGCACCACAAAAGCAACGCTAGCTAGCTCATAACTCCAATATAGATTCATCCAGAATTTGCTGGTTGGCATTGAAAGCTACAATCTTGGCCAAAAACCTTACAACGATCATGGTTTTTCTCATTTTATATCACTTCCTTCACCCCCCCCCCCGCATTCAATGTTGTTTTACGTGACTGTAATAGCTGAAAATCTGGCACAACAATGTCGTTACAGTATCAACATTGAATAGAGGGTGCGCCGGTGCGGGGGGAGTTCTCATTAAATTACAAGCACACTTGTAAAATGTAACAAAAATAAATTTAGGGAAAACTAGTGCAAATTGTTCAGTCGTTCTACGGCCAAGATTGTATAGTTATTTATAATGTTATATTTAATTATTATTGCCATGCCTATACATAGATGTTTTATTTGTATATATTTTAAAACGGCTAAGTCGAACAACATTTATTATAGACCTGCAACTTTTATTGCTCATGCACATATTTTTTACGCTTGCAAGGCCACTTACCACATTTTCACTAAAATAATAGCAAATTTATACTATTCGTCAATGATGTAGTGCTTTCCTTGTTATTATATAGATAACAGTCAAGTAATTGATTATTTCGAGGCTAATGAGGCAGTAATTGGTAACTTGGAGGTTAAAGGTACTCTGCAGAGTCCAAAGATGAAGGCTGATATCGCATATCACTTTGATGTGAATCACTCAGAATTCCAGAAAACGTTGACTGAGGGAGATGTTGTCGGCCTGAACACCAACGCGGATGGCGAAACCTCGATAATTGAACTGTCTTCAAAAAATATGCGCACCATTATCCAAGCAGGCGTCATAAGTCGTTCTGCGTTCTTTGAAGGAAATATCCCAGCAGAGAAAGGTAGTAGATCAAGTTCGGTTATAGACTTGACAGCAGTTATGCGTAATATATATATTGTGCGTAATATATATATATATATATATATATATATATATATATATATATATATATATATATATATATATATATATATATATATATATATATATATATATATATATGTATATATATATGTATATGCTATGTAGCTGCTTCATTTCTTCAAATTTCCTCAGAATATATTCGTCCAGTAACAGTAATTCTTGTATATTTTGAGTTGATTTTGTATGAAAGTAGCAAAACGAGCTCGTGTTGACAAACAAAGTCTGAGGCTCTCCACTCCTTCAGAGTTGTAAATCCCGTTTCGCGGCGTTATAAAGCCATAATACTCCAAATTTTTTGCTACAAATTCTTCTTATATGCTTCTATCTGGCAAAAAACGCGAAAAACTACCGTCTGTAATACAAATCTATACAAAAGTGGGGCCCCAGAATCGAGTGGCGGCTGGTGACTTCCGGCTTCACTTTTGTATACTATAGATGCGTTATCGAGTCTTTTATTTCAGATCAGTGATCTTGACTCTTTTACGAGTTACAGGAACAATCGCAATTGCTCAACCGTTATTGAATTTTTTAACAAGGATCCTACTAAAAATGTCGATCTATAGTGACTATATACCGGCCGGAAAATATGGTATTTTAGCGAATCAAAAACCGTGACGTGACGTGCATTGTCGTGATGCAAATATGTCTTTTCCCATCTTCTCATGCAGACATGTTATCTTGGGAAGCATGCGCGAAAAATGCAAAATATTATAAGCTGTAGAAATGATTTTTCTCTTATTTTCTAATATGACATGTAAAACGTATCGGAGAACAAAAATATAAAAAAGGTAGGGTCACGAACCTTCTTAAAGAGGGTTAAACATGCAACATAATGTGGTTTAGTGTTAATTAACACCGCGGAAAAATGTCTGCTCATGCGTCTACCTTACTTGTAATAGTATTGCGAACTTGATGAGAAGCTGTTCCGAACGTTTCCGAAGGCTCAAAATGGCGGTAAAAAGGAGTGACTTCATTGTGCGTCTTTACAGCAAGATTTCGAGCGCAAAAATAAACATGTCATTCTAAAAACTAGGAATAAATACAGCCAGAAGGTTCAAGAAATTGTATTGTACAAGAACATGAACTAAAGGTGATTGTTGACAAATTTATCGTCCTGAAACATTTTGTTTATCAACTAAGCAACGATAATTTCCGAATTTTCGTTTGAGATACATTTCTTTAAAAAAATACTGTGTCGCCAAATATAAAAAATTTTCGTGTTCACAATAATTAAACTTTAGAATTTATTCTACAATTAGAGTTGGTTAAGAAGGTTAACTTTTCGAGAGTTTTCTTAACTTTTGAGTTTGAATTTTTGTTTTGAATAATTTTGCAAAAATTTTCGAAGTCGTGTCCGTTAAAATCAACAATTTTTTACATGAATTATATTTCATTCCATACTTTAAATGCCAGGACGCTTTCAATTAATGTCTAGTCTACCCATTTGCTATATTTTCTCGTTTGTTTTACTAATTTTTGACCAATTAATTAGCATGTTTTTGTTTTAGAAATTGATATTCAAATTCCCCGCCATATTTTCATAATTTGGTGCATGCGCAGACGTTTTTCCGCGGTGTTGTGTTAATTGCACAGGAGCCCTAGCTAGAGTTCTGCCATTTTTGAAGGTATTATATTTCCTGGATCACGCCTAATCAGTGCAAAGTATTTTTCTTTTGGCCCTTACTCTTTCTTCATCACTTTACATTGCAGTTCGACAGACTACTACATATATTAGCATTAATTTGTCATTAGGTATGCGCAGTAAAAGTGTGCAATGTAAAGCTGATGAATCACCTTAATTAAGAAGTTATTTTGAAAGTCACATCTTCCAATAGAACTCGTTGTAATCAACTTAATTTCCACCTTCTAAAAGACAAGAATCATCATGCTTCCCGATTCAACATATTATTAATAATGACTCCGTAATTTTTTTCAGCAGTAAGCACAGATAAAATCTGCGTAATGGGAATCGTTAGAGTAAAAGTGGTTGGGAATGTAAGGAATGGTGAAAGGGTGTACGCATCCACAAGCTTTCCTGGTAGAGCAGTCGCCGAATCTCACTCGCTGCACGTTGACGACGATATACTATTAGGCATAGCGATGGAGAGCTCCGATGGGAAGGACCATCAAGCTGAAACTCTTGTACGTTGTTTTGTTTCATTCTTGTGTGGTATAAATGCAGGTTATTTCTCCCAAAAGGCACACGATCTTGAAATACGGACTGATGCCAACATTGAAAAAGTCGTCCATCAAAAATGGAAAGGTGAGAAACAAATTTATGAAAAAACTGGGACTTTCCTCTCACCCTGCTGCAGCCCAACTTTATATTATTTAATACTATCATTGTTAACAACTGGACTTTGATTATTTTACTGCATGTGGCCGACACTAACAGATTTGCTCCAAGTCCAAGTCTTTGCCGTGAGTAATTATAGTTCGAATAACATGAGGTAGCGGCGCAAGTGATACGAGAAAGAAAGACTTTTATTCTGTTCAGAAGGAAATAATTAATTTGTCAATTATGAATATAGAAGCAATTTCGTTCTCGCATCCCTTTCGCCACTACGTCATGTTATGGCACATTATGGTGGGGCCACACACAATTGCTGGAAAGAGAGACTTCGAGCAACTCTAACCAACAACATCAGATTGTGTTGCCAAAGCTATAACCTTCATGGTAAACAAAGCTGAATAAATTATTAACTACATACCATGCAACGGCCGGGGCATGCTCAGGTCAATAAATCGGCTCGCTCTGATTAAGTTTATTTTCGTTTTCTAGAGTTGAAAAAGATGGTTATGCATTGGTTCCTAATTTTTATTTTCTTTACAATATTGCTCTGCATCGTTCTTTTCGCATCCAATTATTTCTCGTAAATGCATTATTCTAGTTGTATATAATTATAATGTATAATAACGCTGCTTTTACCTAACTTTTTCACATTTCAGTTGAGACACTACATATATCTTGGTATTTTTTAATCTTGATTCTTGAATGTGTATAGCTTAAACGTAGTGATTACAGTAGAATCTCGCTTATCTCGAACATCCCGCTATTACGAACTTAAACCCATTGCCCGTTGATTTGCTCAAAATATTTCAATCATTTTTACCGGTTATAATTAATATTCTCGCTTCCTTATAACCTTCACTGTTATAACTATAATGTCGTTTCCTTTGACGGAGATTTATCCGGTTATCTATAATGACTTAAATAAATTCAATTTGCTGTTTTTATCAGGGAATTGTACATGCACGTAATAGACACGTTTTTGACGACGGGGACGCCAACTGAAAGTCAATTGGGCGGTTATGGATTGCGAGTGATGGCACCAGCAGTTTTTGTTTGAAATAAAGAACGTCGACAGTTAGTGTAGTTTCACGCTCGTAATTTCAAATAAGAACGGCTGTCTCCAACACTCACCATCTAAAACGGTTCGATTAACTTCTGGTTGTGGCGTCCTTTTTGTCAAAAAGGTCGCTTGTTCAAGCTTCTAACTGATTAATTTTGCTGCGCAAACATGAAAGGAAAACGAGCTAGAATGCACTCTTTCAATCAATTCAAGATACCTACATATAATTGTTAAAGAAGTTGTATTATTATACATTGTGCCTTCTAATTGGCCAGTAGCTTACAGCTATAAAAATGGAATACATATACTTTGCATACAATAACTGTATCAATCGGTCATTGGATCAGCCACGCTATTTTAAGGCAACATAAAATAAATTCCTTGATTCTCATGATCTCATCACCACCCGACTGAATTTTAAGAGGCGCGTGGATATGTTTTATATTTCATTAAACAATATAAATCGCGCGCGATAAAATATTTCAAGACAGTTAGTTTTTCATATTTATAATGTCATTTTTTAAACTGCGAACTTCAAACAAACAGAACACCGGTACCCACAAAATAAATTTCATTGCATCAAAGGGACTTCGCATTCATGCATGTAGTTCAATTAGGGTTCAGTCATTGTTCGTGGAGATACGTTGGATGATGGCAACACAACCTCGTACCCAGGATTTTTCCTTTTTTGCGAGGGGAGAAAAGACTCTGGTAGACGCTGGTCACGTGATCTGCTAAATGTAGCAGATTTTTAATTAGCAATCCAAGATGAGGTCAATAAATATTTTATATTTGGATGATTTTTATAGTTTAATTTATAATTTGCGTTTTGCATGATAGTCGTAAAGGAATCCAAGATAGCTAATTAGAAATCTGCTAGATTTTAGCAGATCACGTGACCAGCGTCTACCAGGGTATTTTGTCCCCAATAGGAAAGACCCTGGGTACGAGGTTGATGACAACAAATGTGTACTGTAACATGTTTATTTCGGTTATATGTTTATAACGTACATAAAATATATAAACCTCCCAGCTCTTCGACATTTTCAAAATGTCAGTGATGAGAATCAAGTTATTAATCCCCGAGCCAACGTTGCAGAGCGCCGTTCCGGGCGTAAACCGTACCCGGGCGAGGGTACTAATTCCGCCCGGCTATTTTACACCCGGGGAAACGAAAGCATTAGCCAAGTCTAAAGTTCATCAATGATCGCTGGCGTGGGTCACTGTGCGTTTTGGGTTTTGGGTGGGTGGTCATCTCACTGATCTCTAAATATGGCTGTTTGCCAGGAGTGAAGAAGGCAAAAATATATAAAAACACATGTAAGAAAGCTTGGAAAATCGTTTCATTTAAAAGAATTGATTTAGTATGAGAAATCCTAAAGTATAGAGTAAGTTTGTTTCAATTGTTCATGCATGTATGTCTTTGTATTAATATTATAACTAAATATAGACAGTCTTTGTTCTTGTTGATGTTCAAGTCTTTCCTATGCATTGTTTGCGAAAGTTTCTTAGTTAAATTAACTTTTGTAGAAGTTCATGATAAAAAGGAAAGCAAATTGTGTTCATAAGCGTCCTGTACGAATTAAATTTATTTTATTTCAAAGTGTGAGTAATAAGTTGAAGCTCGAGTTGAAGAGTTTATAAATGTCGGCAAAAAGCAGTTAATTTCAATTCACATTTAAAAACTTTTACGTAGAGTTTCGTTTTGCATTTTACATTAATTTTACTGTAAAGTCAGTAGAAACTAAAACAATATTTTAGAAATTGATACTTCTGTATTTAAAAGTGTTCAACTGAATTTCATCTATTTTGCATGTTTGTACAAAAAAATTAAAAAAACAATTTATCGTGTTGCCATGACTAACATGACGTGGCAACGCGAGCCTGCGTTCAGTGTTGGTGTAATTACGAAACTTCGTGTTGAAACAATGTTTGGAAAATATAGGCGAGGGGATGTTGCATGCATGTATTTCTAGTTTTATGTGGCCTAATTTAATTTGGAATTGCATGAACTGATTCGATTGTCTCGATCCCCCGCCAATTCGAACTATTTGGCTTCCCTTGGTTGTTTGGGGTTCTACTGAAGGCTCAATGTGCATATATACAGGGTGTATCATAAAAAACGGAGTCCTCGCTTCAAATATAAATTTCAAAACGAATATTAAAGCAAAACGTTCAGGTTTACATTCATTTTAAAGCGTAGACATTCAGCTTTTCAACAGTGGGTTGTTTCGTAAATATAATCCAGAAGTTCGTGAATAATAATATTTTAAGTGATTGCGATTGGAGAGTCAAAAATTTGAGATGCAATAACAAACCGGTACTTGATGAAAATAACTTATTTTGTCAACAAAACGAGCAAATTGAGGCATTTTGGCAATTGCTTGTAAAAATCAAGTAATAATGGCTTCCAATACACTATTTTAAATTCACTTGCTGACTTCAAATGCGTTATAATACCGGCTGAAGCGTGTTTTAGCTTGCCGTCAACTTGCTAATTTATATTTACATTACGGCCCGATTCGATGGTGCTCGTTCGGACGATGCATGGACGTAAGGTTGTTTTGATGATTTCTGGAAATAATATAGGATTTTAAAATAAATAAAACAACCTAATCTCTTTTAGAATGTTTTTAACAAGTTCTTACTAGTTTTTCGGGTGTCTGTAAAAGCCGGAACCCCACCCGGAACACTCGGAACCCACCCGGAACCCCACCCGGAACACCCGGAACCCACCCGGAACACCCGGAACCCAACCCGGAACACCCGGAACCCTACCCGGAACACCCAGAACCCCTCCCGGAACACCCGGAACCCCACCCGGAACACCCGGAACCCCACCCAGAACACGCTGGAATACGAGCTATGAAGCAACGCACGTGTTTCTCTATAAATTCACGTGTTTCGCATTAAATTCGGGGTGATAGATGGTTACGATCTTTACTTTTTACTTGTATTGTTGTTTTTTTAAATAATTTTTCTCATGGGCAAGGATAAATATATTATGTAGGGCGGTATATAATATCAAATGCATGAGTTTTGCTTGTTTGTAAACGTGCAAACAAAGTTTCGCTCGAGGCGTTTGCCGCATGTATTTATTGCCGCATCTATATTTTTCGCTTTCAATATTCTGCCGTACTATGTACCTGTGACTCTATTCTAAATTTAGTTGAACAATAACCAATATTTAACTTTGCTATCTTTTTTATTATTTGAATAATATGTTTGCATATGGTTACTTTGACTTGCAATTGTATGAAACGGCGCCATGTAGGAATTTAGAGGAATTATAAAGTTCATCCGTATTTATTACAATACGAATTCTCGTGGATTTGGGAAAATTTTCATGGATTTCTTTACTAGACTTACTCGTTTTTTTTTGAACTTTGAAAGACGTTTTAGTAATTTGGAGGCTGTTTTGTATATGACAATGACTGCAGCCTACAGTAAAAGTGCACGCGCGAGATCTCAGAATAACAGTATTATTAAGTAAGCCCCCTTGATGAGTGTGTACGCTCTTGGGGCAAACTCATTCTCATCAGAAATAGGGTGTCTGTTAAAGCCGGAACCCACCCGGAACACCCGGAACCCCACCCGGAACACCCAGAACCCCACCCGGAACCCTACCCGGAACACCCGGAACCCTACTCGGAACCCCTCCCAGAACACCCGGAACCCTACCCGGAACCCCATCCGGAACACCCGGAACCCCACCCGGAACACGCTGGAATACGAGCTATGAAGCAACGCACGTGTTTCTCTATAAATTCACGTGTTTTGCATTAAATTCGGGGTGATAGATGGTTACGATCTTTACTTTTTACTTGTATTGTTGTTTTTTTAAATAATTTTTCTCATGGGCAAGGATAAATATATTATGTCGGGCGGTACAGAATATCAAATGCATGAGTATTGCTTGTTTGTATACGTGCAAACGAAGTTTCGCTCGAGGCTTTTCCCGCATGTACTATATTTCAGTTTCGTTTTCAATATTCTGCCGTACTATGTACCTGTGACTCTATTCTAAATTTAGTTGAACAATAACCAATATTTAACTTTGCTATCTTTCTTATTATTTGAGTAATATGTTTGCATATGGTTATTTGATTTGCAATTGTATGAAACGGCGCCATTGTAAGAATTTAGAGGAATTATAAAGTTCATCCGTATTTATTATATACAATGCGAATTCTCGTGGATTTGTGGGAAATTTTTCATGGATTTCTTTACTAGACTTACTCGCTTTTTGGAACTTTGAAAGACGTTTTCGTAATTTAGAGGCTGTTTTGTATATGACAATGACTGCAACCTACAGTAAAAGTGCACGCGCGAGATCTCAGAATAACAGTATTATTAAGTAGCTAATAAATTATATGTATTGCTAGAAATTCCCAAAACATTCATTTGTCATTGAAAACGTTGACAACCAAATCAACAAGCTGGTGTCGTAAATATAAAGCACTAGCCACTAGGCAAAACTTTCATGTTATAACTTCAACAGTAACACAGTCCTTAATTTAATATATTAAATACAATATTTATTTACTGCCGTTGATCGAAGGAACATGGACGTTTTGCCTCGTGCTCTATATTTATATGACATCATCCTGCTTGTTGGTTGTTAACGTTTTCAATGACAAATGAATGTTTTGGGAATTTCTAGCAATACATATTATATGTTAGCTACTTTATTTAAACATATTTCTGATGAGAATGAGTTTGCCCCAAGAGCGTACACACTCATCAAGGGGGCTAACTTAATAATACTGTTATTCTGAGATCTCGCGCGTGCACTTTTACTGTAGGCTGCAGTCATTGTCATATACAAAACAGTCTCCAAATTACTAAAACGTCTTTCAAAGTTCCAAAAAAAACGAGTAAGTCTAGTAAAGAAATCCATGAAAATTTTCCCAAATCCACGAGAATTCGTATTGTAATAAATACGGATGAACTTTATAATTCCTCTAAATTCCTACATGGCGCCGTTTCATACAATTGCAAGTCAAAGTAACCATATGCAAACATATTATTCAAATAATAAAAAAGATAGCAAAGTTAAATATTGGTTATTGTTCAACTTAATTTAGAATAGAGTCACAGGTACATAGTACGGCAGAATATTGAAAACGAAAAATATAGATGCGGCAATAAATACATGCGGCAAACGCCTCGAGCGAAACTTCGTTTGCACGTTT